TCTTCGATTCTCTCGCTGCAGAGTATGAACGCAGTCTTAATGAAAAGGCAGTCCCTTTTTTGAACGACATAATAAACCTGCTGTCTTTGTTATTGGTAGGTATTAAACGTTCATCGGAATGCATTTTCAGGTTGATGTGAAGGGCAAACGAGTGCTGATTCGAGTAGATTTCAACGTTCCACAAAAAGATGGAAAAATCACTAACAATCAGCGTATCGTTGCGGCGCTGCCAACGATAAAGGTACGCTTTTCAGCGGTTTTACGGCTGAATTTTTCAGAAAAAGCAGTCTGAAGGAAGCATTGCAATTTTGCGAATGGTTGTGAGGGCAAGTCACTCACAATAGACTTTCAGGTCGTGGAGCCCATTTTCGAACCAGTTTGTTACTCGCTGTAGCCTTTCTTCGGCTCCCATAAAAGTGTGCAGCGAAAATGAACTACATTTCTGTGGTCCTAGTATGAGCCTCTACAGCACGCACAAAACGTTATGAAAGTGGGCGCCACGACCTCAAAGAGCTTGCTCAGAGCTCAGCTAGGGAGAAAGGGGTGAGGGGCTGAGATGAAAATTCGGCTATCATTCCACCATTACTACCCTAAATCAAAAGAGAGTTATAAGCAAATGTTAGAGAGATAACACCGCGCTTTTCTCCAACGTGCAAGGCATTTTCATAGAATCATGGTCGATGGTACGAGCGATGTGATACATTAAAATGGGACAGATTTCATTTCGATAGGCTGTGGACCGGTTTACTGACCTCAGTAGATTTCTTGTTACACCTGAGTCCCCAATCTGCTAATATGTCCACGATCAAGCATAGAACATAGGACACCGATGCTGTTCAGGGGCATCGTCAGACATGAACAACCCGTGTAGCGGCAGTAATTTCGTTTCCTTTGAGAAAGCACTTCATCTGAAAGCAAGCCAAATAGCCTAGGATTGTTGGAACATTTCAACCGTTGCGCAATGAACAGTCGCTGATTGAGTGTAGTCGATGCGCCACTTCTACTTTCATTCAGAATACTGTAGTGGCTTACCGAATGCGATGTGGCTTATACAATGACCTCGTGGCGATGTTCAAGCCAGTGTTTTCATGCTCCAATACAAATCTACTTCTAACCTGCCTTCTCCGGGTGTAGAAAACATAGTTATTCTAGTGGGGATCTACGGACCACGCTTAGTAAGCGTACCACTTGCTCCTGCACACTTCCGCCTCATGGTTATCTTATTAGGTTGACGGGAATTGACAAAAATAGCCCTCACCTCTATCAAAATCGCGTCGGAAACACCATTGTTGAAAACAAACTACCTTCACCACCTAGGACGGTCCTTGGCACACGCGAGAATCGGTCCGCAGCTGCAGTAACGTACCATTTTTCTGCTCAAAAGTGCACAAGGCCGTAGGGTAGCGAAACTCGAGTGCCGTCCCCACCCCCAAAGTTGGGGCAGTGACAAGTGCCTCCATTACTGCAGTTGGTTCGGGGGTCAAAAACTGAAACGGATATAGCCAAGGCGAATCAAGTTCTTCATCCTTATGAGCTGATGTATTGGTACCACTCATAGTTAGAAAGCTAAAACACTGGTTTATGCTTCAGCTCGTCCCAAATTTTTTTTGTATAGACCAGATGTGCATTCAAAAGGCACTGGAATGGAAGTGGCGTGCGTGGCGGAACTCCAAGGGCTCATTAACGCCATGCGGTTCCTCTATAGGTTTTGTAGTTCAGGGTACGTGACATAAGTTTTCGCAGTCTGATCAATATCTAGCAACACACTTTCCGAATTATTATCTAGACATGGAGAGAATGCCATCCATTTTGCCTCCTCTTTAGCGCTGTAATTTTGCCACCCTTTTATGTACCTGTTGATGCCTTTTGGTTCAGTGTTATAGCCAAAACGCACGCTCACACGTGACGTGCATTCTTGGCATTTGCGGGCTAACAGGCCCCCAGCTGTCGAGGAGTAGTGGTTCCCCCACCGGAATATGCACGGGCATGGGGATCCAGGACCGTGTCATAGATAATTCCTCCATACGCTGCCTGCAAACCAACTCGCGCCGCAGACACGCTGCATACCGCTACCGCATCCCAATCGCATCTGTATCGACCGACGTCTGCACAGCGCGGGGTCGTAAGTGCGGGGACCTTTCTGTAGTGAGGGTGCAGCGATACCCAGCTGTCGTTCAGCTTCAATGATGAAAGACTTATCCATGTGAAGGAAGGACCTCTGAACAGAACCACACAACCTATCAGCGCAGAAATGGGGAACGGGCGATCACAGGGAATATGATGGCATCCCAAATTGAGTCGTGAATTAATGATAAAAGATAAAGGATAAGGTCTCCGCCGTTGATCAACCCCTTTGTGGAATGCGGCACGCATTCCACTTCCATTCAGAATCGCAGTGGCTCATTGAATGCGAAGTGGCCTATACAGTGAATGACTTGCGGTGGCCAGGCGATGTACAAATCAGTGTTTTATCCTCCCAGGCGAATCTGGTACCATCTTACCGTCCCCGGAGGGTAAAAGGCTTGGTTGGCTTAGGCGAAAGTCGACCCTAGATTTGAACCCGGCATCGCGCGAGTGGTAAGCGCGCCACTTGTCACTACACCACCTCCGCGCCAATGAATATCCGCCATGAACTAGTGAACAGATAAAAATACACTTCCGAGCCTTTCTGACCGTGCAAACACATCTACCTGCACGAAGGAAGCTCTTTCGCGAAGTTACACCTTCCCAATAGCTCTGCGTGAAAGCGCTATGCATGGCGCAATGCAGAGGTGATGCCAATTGACGTCCAATGAACTTTCCTGGTATGCTTGGCAAAAACACGCGTTTTAGAAAAACCCTCTTATTGTTTTTGAGAGTTTAGCAAATTTCTGTTGAATGCGAACTACAGTGATCTATCTCGTTAACTTCGCATACGGATAGCTTTGGTGATAAGCGCTTTCCAGTATAGCCATGTTTTTTGCTCGTTGCTTCGCTTCCATCACAAATAAGAGCACAGTAAATGTTTGTATTTCGTAACGAGGTAACTAAGGTGAGAGTATAAGCGGAGTTTGATTATGCTTCCTTTCATTAGTACCCTCATGACAGGGGGTCGTATTAAGACCCTAATCCTGGGGGGGGGGTCGTAATTAGCGGAAAATGATCACAACGCAATGGCGTGCCCTGAGCCTCTGGCACTTTGCCGAGTCTCATAATTTGCTCTTGCGAATGGGTTTAAAACGCAAACTTCTAATTTGGATGGCATCTGATGGGTTATTCATATTGCTAACTCTGAAGCAGATGATGATGTGGGCTGAACTCGTTTACTGCTCACGCAATCTTCCTCAAAAGCCGAACGTTTCAACAAAACATGAGACCTGAGACGGTCTGAGCGTCCTCTTCTTTGAAGACAGTTCCCGCGATTTAGTGTCATGGGTAGTTGCTGCTCAATTATGAACCACAGTGGCTACAGTGGCTGATAATTTCCCAAAGAAGAAAGAAGAAAGCAATAAGAACCAGTTTACTGTACATAGACCACACTGGAGGGGAAAACTCTTTGTTGTGCTCAGCTTCTTGTTTATATAGGGTTTATGTTTATTTTCATTCTTCATTCACATCCAACTTCATTCTTCTTCCATCCTGCTTCTTCTCGCGCAGTCTTTCATTCACCTCTATAGTACACCAGTTACACTACATAAGGTTCTTCAAGAACACCATACACAAAACCGACTCCCTGATAGTCACACCGCCCTGCGGTCTGCGGTCAGTGCCCCCTAGCTCACGAATTGCTTTTTAGCATCTCCTACTACTAAACATCCCTCCAGTGTAAAAAGAAGGAAATGAAAAAGAACAAAAACACCGACGACAAACTCTTAACAAAAAAAACTTCCAAGAACTTTGTTTACGAATTTAGGATTACGGCAGCGGGCACCGTTTAGTGCAGTCGAGCTTTTGCACCAAAAAATTGCATCATTGGTGATTTTAATGCGCTTTGCTTTGCGAGAGGAGTTGCAGCTGAGTGCTTCTAATGAGTAAAATGTAATAAAAGAGAGCAGAATTACTTATGCGGGCGCGAGCGCGGTCAGTAAAAATGAACATGCAGTTCCGATTAATGCCCGCCCTAACAAAGAACAATTCAGCGGCCCTGCGTCAGATATGGAGAAAACAAACCGGTCTTTCTTGCGAAGGGGACTGCCTCTGACATATTTTCTCAAAAACGCATCCATGTTAAGCGGAACAACTCCTGGGCTTGCAAATGAGTCGACAAGCTCATAGACGAGACAGGGAATCACCCCACGACGCTCCAGGCAACACAGTGCACATGTAATTCCGCTTGTATGCTGCTGTCTTGCAGAATATCTCCAGTTCAAACCCCCTTTTATGACACTAGAGCCAGAATCACTTCCCATTTACAAAGTAACACGGATGTATATTTGATTTACATTTATTTACATTTATGTAGTTGCTCTTCAATTCTTGCCCTCGTCATCAGGTTCAGAATCTACAGCATGAGCAACGCCTTATGTCATCCGCATCTGGAGTTTGCGTTTCATTTGTATTCGAGAGCGCAGACTGCGAGACTTGCTGGAATGCCAGAAGCGCCGTGCGCAACACGCGTCGTGCGGACGCCGGTTGGTACGGATGCCATCGGGATATGGTAGCGACGGGGGGGGGAAGGAGCAGGTTTTACCTTGGTGGTTCACAGGAGTTCTTAGGTTTCACAGGAGTGAGACTTGTAAGCCGGAACTAGCAAAGCAGTAAAAGTGCAATATCGCCCCCCTCCCCTCCCCCCCCCCTCCCCCTCCCCCCCTCACCCCGTCGCCGAACTGCGCGTGGCGCCGCCTGGCGTGCCTGCCGCGTAACTTGCTTTTTAGGCGCAGTATAGAGGAACTGCTCTTCCACGGTCCTCGATCCCCATGCCCGCTTATGACAAAGATGTACCTCGCAGGTGATTTGTTTTGTCTTCAAACAGTAAACTTCTGCAGTACTGCTTGGACAATGGAGCAAAATCTGTCGTTTTAATGTCACATCTTGGACGACCCGATGGCAAGAAAAACCCGAAGTTCACCCTGGCTCCTGTTGCTGACGAACTAAAAAAAGTTCTCGGAAAGTAAGCTCACCAGTTTCCCATGTTCTGATGGTGCGTGAGATGTACCCACATACAGTAGAATTATCTCTTTTTTAGGGACGTGAAATTCCTTACTGATTGCATAGGTCCGGAAGTGGAGGCGGCTTGTGCTGATCCGGCTCCAGGATCGGTCATCTTGCTTGAGAATTTGCGTTTCTACATCGAGGAAGAAGGCAAATGTACGAATGAAAAAGGCGAAAAGGTGTGTGATGTGGACCTTAAAACGATTTCCGTTTTTGGACTCGATTTTTAGTTGAAAGCGTCTCCTGAGGCCGTTGAGAAGTTCCGCGCCTCGCTAACCAAGCTCGGTGACATTTATGTTAACGACGCATTTGGTACAGCCCATAGAGCACACAGGTTTCTATTTCTGTGATATCATCTCAATCTCACTATATTCTTTAGTAGTATGGCAATGTCCTTTTTTCAGTTCAATGGTCGGCGTGAAGCTGGATACGCGTGCATGTGGTTTCTTGATGAAAAACGAGCTGGTTTACTTCGGAAAAGTACAGGCATTACTCTTGTCTCATCGTGCGGATTCTATTGAGGTGCTCGTAATTTCAGGCCCTCTCTGACCCAGCAAGACCATTCTTAGCTATCCTGGGTGGTGCGAAAGTTGCCGACAAAATCCAGCTCATCAAAAACATGTTGGATAAGGTCAGTTTGGAGCCGGTCTGGTGCATGGTCATACAACAGTGTGAGTGCTTTCAGGTTAACGAGATGATTATTGGTGGTGGTATGGCGTTCACATTCCTCAAAGTTGACCAGAATGTTGAAATCGGAAAGTCTTTGTTTGATGAGGAGGTAATAGAGGGATTTTGTGTGCGAACATTACACCACTTATGTTTGTGGCAACTTTACCATAATCTGTTAACTTTCGGTCTTATTTGACTTATCTAAGGGTGCAAAGATTGTAAAAGACTTGTTGGCCAAAGCTAAGGAGAAGAACGTCCAAATCCATTTGCCAGTAGACTTTGTTGTTGCTGACAAATTTGCGGAGGACGCGACAGCTAAAACTGCTACTCTGGCAGAAGGAGTCCCTGCTGGTATGTTTGATTCTTGCATTTTCATCGTGTGTGTAAATGCACCACAATGTTTGCGAACTTTTTGTTTTTTTTCCTAGAGACAGACTGTTCACTCACCTCTTAAGACGGTCCTTTCCATGGACGAGATCAGTATGTTTGCAGATGCAGTAACGTGGTACCTCCGCTCGAAAGCGCACGAAAGTGGGGCTGGTGGGTAACTGGCATGCGATTGACGTCTCCATAGCGTCCACCCTGCTATCCTCGATTTGCAGCCTTTGCGTTGGTACCCCAAGATCCGGAGCGAAACGCGCACTCAGCGGTAGAGAACAACCAGAGGTGCGAAAAATTATGAGCCACCAGTAGCTCGAAATGTCGTCAGCGTGATAAGTAGAGATTGAGGCATCCGTTGGAGAGTCCTCGACAGAGATGTCGTATTTGGCTTGCTGAAATGAGGAATCTTATTTGGAGGAGTCATTAGTGAACGGAGCTGTGACAGCGTGGGTGTAGAGGTTAAAATCGGAGCTATGATGTGGTGGTGTGAATGATCCATTTTAGTGGGAACCCTCATATTATACGCTCTCTAGGTGGGATCGAAGCTGTGAAGGAGGTAAATAAAAGTTAAGAAGCGGGAATCTTGTAGTTCTTCATATTTTTTTTTCGAAAAGGTATGTGTGGACAAAGTTATATCCTTTTGAAGAACTACTGCACGCTCCGTGCACGCGGCTTGCACGAAGACAATAGTTTCCTTGTTGCTGGGGAAAATTCCGTAGCAGCGGATTCTTCTGAATAACAGGTTTTTATGAACGATTTGCAAGAGTTGGAAAAAGAGATCTTCTACCTTTGAACTCTAGTATTTGTTTGCACTGAGTCCTGTATAACCGAAAAATGATCCCTAAAATGTTGAAAACTCGCTTGTAAAGAAATTCTGTCGTTATTCTGTAAAGAAAATGCTCCCAGGCGAATTTTTCTTAATAATGGGCTAATGTAAAAGATTTTGTGTTGGTGAGTAATATGGAATCCTCTACTTTTCAGCACAATTCTGGTTCATCCCCAATCCTGAATTACCGAAGTGATGGTCGCTGAAAGACTAAAAACTCGCATCCCTGTGATGGTTTCAACGTTATTTCGATGCGAAGCTATACGAACTCTTTCGAGACTAGCTCAGTATCTGTCGGGTGAAACTTTTCAGAGATCACGACTCGCGCCTTTCGCTTTTGTTTCTGAAGGAAGTTAAACCTTTCTAAAAGCTCTGAGGTAGTAACCAGTGAAATGAGCTCGCTCCAATGCTGGTGAAGCACCTATTTGTCTCTTGAGGTTTGCACCGCTGTTGCATTCTCTTATTCATTCAGTAAATGGACAGGAGGGGGTCGTGTTGACAATCACTTAGGGCGGGGTCGTATCGACGGGCCAGTTTTCCTTAATTTTTTTTCTTAATGTGATGCTTGACCCTGCTTGAGCAGTAAATTTCAATGCGTATACGGGGCGGAGCATAGCTCCTCCACTTGCGCATGTTAGTGTGTTCAAGTAGTAAATCCCAGTAATGTAGTCACAAAGCAGCGTTTTCTAACATTAGGATGATAACATTTTGTTGGTCTTTTGAAAATCCCTAATAAACTACTGCTGTTTCGTTGTCTTTTCCGCTTGGTTTTAGGTCACATGGGTCTAGACATTGGTCCAAAAACCGAAGAGTTATTTGCGGAGGCCGTTGCCAGGGCTAGGACGATCGTATGGAATGGGCCTCCTGGTGTGTTCGAATTTGAGAAGTTCTCCCACGGAACGAAAGCTCTTATGGATGCCGTCGTCAAGGCTACAACAAATGGTGCCATTACTATCATAGGTGAGTTGCAGATGTTGTCATTTTCGTGTATTGGAATGCAGTTGATTAGTTCTATCCATCCTTTATATAATTTTTCTCCTAAAAATCAAAATCCAGGTGGTGGCGACACGGCGACTTGCTGTAAGAAATTCAAAACCGAGGACAAAGTGAGCCATGTTTCCACAGGAGGGGGCGCCAGTCTTGAGCTTCTGGAAGGTGCGTCGTATTCGCTACGTGTAATCAGGCTATTGCTATATTGATTCTCTCTTATTATTTTTAGGGAAAGTTCTGCCCGGAGTCGAGGCACTCTCTCCGGCTTCATAGGCTCATCCGGTTAACTGGGATACCGCTGCAATCCAGTAGTTTTTGCTTTGTGTACAATGTACATTGTAGAATGGTTATGAATATAGTTTATCAGCTGAGTTAGCACAGTGCTCACCGTCATGCCCGGTGGCACGAACACTTGTCGGATCAGAGTTCTCTTTTTTTTTCTACAATAAACTGCCTTCCAATTTGTGTATGTGCTATTGCACCACATTAGGCACTGGTGATCACATTATCACGGCTGGATGATGTGTGAGCTCGGATTAGAATTAAGTGAACATTTTTGGCGTTCTTGACGTTGTCCCATGTAGTGACCATTTTTCGAAATCAATGAACGGACTGTTATTATTAGGTTGGCGGGAAAGTTCTGTCATACGTTCTGAACCCAAGTATTTGCTTATCACCTGAAGAAGGTAAATCGGCAATGTGAGCAGTTATACGTCAAGAATTGGTCTTTCTATTAATATCACTGGCTCTACTCCTGCTTCTCCTTGTTCTGCAATATGGACAAGAATGTTATCCACTACCTTCGGCACGACCCCTTCAAACGCTTCCTTCAAATCTTTTTTCTACCACCCTGGCGCTAGCATGACAGCTGTTGACGCCGAAATAATGGAGCTCCATAAGGACAATGTCTCCGATCATCAGACGATCTTCCACGACGGTAGCGCTCCAGTGCGGGAGCTCACGGTTTGAATGACGAAGTGGGGTTTGGGAGTACCTGTGATCTCAGCTTGAGGTAGCTGTGGGCCGGGAAACTAGTGGATGAAGAAGCTGCGTCCTATTTCAATGCGTACGCAAAGCAGCTACGAGATCTGAAGCGAATCGTCAAGCAGAGGGAAAAAATTCATCGGCACTCTCCGTTTTCAACGTGCTGGTGCGGCCCCCTCCTGTCCAAAAAGTTCGAGCCGAAGCCATGCTATAGAGCTGGACGGCTCTACCCTTGCACCGGTGTAGTCCAGACATTGCTCTTTCTGACTGCTAGTCGCCTCCCGTATTCAACCGTTATACGGCTGAGAAATCCTCCACGACTTGAGCCCAAGTCAAAGCTGAGATGATGTTCGATTTGCGTCCCGCCGGCGTGCATTGTGAAGCGATGGCATCCACGAGGTGCCCAAAATCTAGCAAGGATTTCGCAACAACATTGCTGTATAATTTTGATCTGTACGCCTTTCTGTAAAAAGAAAGTCTAATTTGAAGAAATGTGACAGAACTTTCCCGCCAACCTAATAATTAGTTCGGAACTGGAGAAGAAAGGTACTGTCAGATGGGGAAGTGAATAGTCATGGTAGTGTACGATGTGAGTTAAATAACGTCTAACAATTTGAACAAAGCTCGTGTTCTGGCAAACTATTAGGTTGTTCGAAAAGTCCTGCGACATTTTGATTGAATTGTTCTAGAAAAAGACCAAAAATCATTTTGGATGTTTTTATCCCTGATTAGTGGAGTGTGTCCCCTGGGGTTTCTGCATATGGGTATATCATGACTTTGTGGAAGGTTTCAAAGCTTAAAAGTCCCGCAGAGATCGAGGTACTTTTCGACCTATCCCATATTATGAGTTCCTGTAGGGCGACTCCGCCGTATACTTTTCGACCTATCCCATATTATGAGTTCCTGTAGGGCAACTCCGCCGTAATCGAGGAAGCTAACACTTACGTTGTCTTGAGGAGGAGATCGCTTGCCATGAAAGAGGGTAGCTGTTGCATCAGCGCTTCCAGGCTGGACTTATTTAACTCGTAGTTAGGCAATGTGTAGGTCGCCCACCAGCACAGAATGACGACCCTTTACTCAAGCTTCTTGAGCCGCAGCCGAAGGTAATCACCAGTGAGTTGGCAACCTCTCTAGGCTCCAGCTGCCTGACAACTTCGTGCTTCTCCGCAATCTCGTTATCGGAAAAATTCTATGTGAAGGATGCCTCATGAGTTGGACCGTCTGACAAGTCATACCGAATGACCGCATGTGGGGATCAGGCCACGTCAAAAAATCATGAATTTTGATCAGAGAATGCGACCGTACCCAGGTTATTCAGCAAAGTTAGCGCCCTCTAATTATCACCCTCTTTTGGTCCTCACTGCATCCTTTGAAGAGCAAAAAGCCCGAAAATCGACCTCAACTCGAGAATGAGGTCCACCTCTTCTTTTTATCACAGTTGCCGTAGTTCTATGAGAATGGAAATGAGAAGCTGTGCAAAAGAAGGGGACTAGTCCTAGGCATCAACAATGGTTACCTTGTGGATTGGAGATGCCTTCGGGTGACAGAAAATTTAGTGCGAAAAATTTGGTCCAAAGTGTCGCAGGACTTTTCGAACAACCTAATAGATCTCGGAAAAGCATCACCAGCAGATAGGATAGCCGCTGATGAAGCGGAGTTGTTTCGCTCGGTTGAAAGTCTTAGGCTGCATTTACACTTTGCGGAAGCGAACGCTGCCGTATAAAAATAAGTATAAACGCAGCCTTACAAAAGATAATAACAGCAGGTGGCCACTGATGTAGTAGCCCTATTGAAAGTTATCACAAGAACGCAGTTATGAGCAAGTTTTGACCCCAGGCGGAGCTCACGCTCTCCAGGTGATTGTCAGTGCAGGTTTGGGTGCCGCATGGGTCCGATCTACCCATAACTTAGAACTCTTTCCGATGGCTTTTGGATCGCGAACTGCGTCGTCAAACAGCGGTGTCATACTAAAACAACCAATAACGGTTAAAGGTCTTTTCGTCTGTATTTATGAGATTAGCAAGAACCTGAGAGAGAAGAGAAGAGTGATCAAGCTTAGCAGGAACTTGAACCAGCGTCAGTACCTGCGATACGCACTAATTACCGGTCCCATCTCGCGCAACATACTGGTATTTTTATCCAAAAATAGCTGATAGCGAAAAGTTCTGGTATTATCTTGATGGTACCCCGATTTTTTTCTCTTTCATTTTTAAAAATTCGGCACAAAATGGGAATAAATCCACAATACAATCACCATTGGTAGGTATCACCTTAATCCATCTACTGGGCAGACCAGCGACCAGGGCACGCCATCTTTGTGATCATCACAACGGGGGGGGGGTCGTATTTGCCCGCGATGGAGGGGGGGTCATAAACGCATGGCCCATGTTGAAGTGGAGAGAGCGGTGATACATGGTACAAGTGAAAGAAGCTTAAAAGGGATGATGTAGATAACAATAAATAAATAGAACTAGGCACTATCGAACTATTCCTAGGCCAAGAACTAAAAAAAACATTGATGAAACTTTCCTCCTTCCCCACAAAAAAACTTCAAGACACTTCGCCCAACCCTCCTCATCTAGTCTAGATAAATCCCGATCCACTAATCCGCAAAATCTAGAAAAGAATCTATTGCAAAAGCTACCTATGAAACCGTAGAAATTGAATCCTGAGCAATTTCCTCACAACAAAATCAAACTCAACGAAACAAAATCAAACTCAACAAAAACAAACAATCAAAATAATTCAAAATCAATTGGATAAGAAAAAAACTCACCAGGCCAGCTGGGAACCGGAACTATGGATTACTTTTGAATTTTGGCTGTTCGCGGTCAGCGCGCTCATACAAGCTCACTGTTTTACGGCCTGGAGCCAATTTCAAGCCAAACACGTGAAAAGTACCCTTCATTTGAACACCCATAACTTCGTTGAAAGTGAAGCTATCGGAGAGGGGTAAGTGGGAATGCGTAGAGCTACTTTGCCTCTTGTCACCCGAACTGCGGATCTCAAAACGTTCCGATTCCAGAGATTTTCCCCGTTGCGATCATCGTTGTGATCCGTCTGTGATCATTTTTGCGAACCGCGAGTCGCTACGCTTTGGACGCCCATGGCAAGCTTCATACGCGGCCTTTCGCAAAAAAAGAATTGAGCCGGAAGCTTGAAGATTTCTACTTTCCAGCAAGGCTTTAATTTTCTTCCTAGGCCTGCTGCTGGAAAAAATTCGCCGTTGTGATCATTTCGTGACCCCATCCCCCCCGCTCGACAGCAAAATTTTGTAAAAAAACTAGAAATTTTTCGGGAAAAAATAGACAAAGTGGTAGGAGGTTGGAAAAATCTAGGGAAGAGGTAACATGGAAAGGGGTTCCCCCCGTCGTACTTGAAGATGGACTTAGGGGGGGTCGGTATTTTTCTAGGAAATGATCACAACGCAATGGCATGCTCTGCCAGCGACCCTTTCCCGAGAAGTGTGGGGAGTGGTAGTCGAAGAAATTGGCGACTACCCGTGCTATGTCATCGAACTTTGATAAAGTTTTCTTACAATTAGCCAGGAAAGTCTTTAGAGAGTGGACTAAGAAGTAAGCACAGTGGGCTATAAGGCGTTCACTAGCTATCAGGGCACAGCGTTCGATGGGGATTCCCTATGGGGGGGGGTCGTGCGAGGCCGCCAAAAGGGGGGGGGGTCGTATTTGGGCTGGGAAAATTATTTTTATAGTTGATTTTTCTCGCTTTGCGGACGTTTTGGAGGGAGGGGGGGTCATATTTGGTCGTTGTGGGAGGGGGGGGGGTCGTATTTCTGTCTAGGAGTTGCGTGGTTCATGAGTTTCTTCATGAGTTTTATGAATTTTCTGTGTTATAGGTATTATGTACGCCCGTATGATGTACGTCGCATGCCTACTACAACCCCCCCGCTCGACAACTTTTTCGCTGAGTATAAATCACAAACACAGTCAGCTAATCCAGTGTCATTCATGAAAAAGTCGTCGAGCGGAGGGGGGGATCGTAAAAGCTCGACCCAAAATCCCCATCGAATGCTGTGCCCTGCTAGCTATGATTGGGATTCGACAGTGACCGTATACATTGTATTATAGTGATTGATAAATTTATTGCAGACAGGTTAATCGTCCTGATTAGTGCTCTTGTACAAGTTAATAAATGTCAAGTATTGTTGCGCTTTATGCTTGATGTGATTGTTTAAAGTCTGGGGAAGCTGTTTGTACAGTGAAAGCCCACCAATAAAGCATTTGAGCGAGTCCTCATTTTTGATAAGAAGATTTCAAACATATGAGGCT